AGCCCGTTATTTCTGCTTTTAACACTTACATTGATTTTAAATTCCTCTGTGTTTAAAGTGCTTCACGCTCCGTTTGTCTGACATGTTTTTCGATCTACAGACCAGGACATTTCTGGGACATTTCAGGACAAAACTTTCATTTTTCATTTCCTCTGAGCTGGTGGAGCAGCCTGGGGATCTGAGAACAGCTCGGAGTTAATATTTACTTTCTCAGAGGACCTAAAAATATTGGTGTTTTTAAAGAGGGAGTATCCTCCTTTCTATACGTGATTTACAGTTCAAAATAATCCTTATTTATCTCCCTTTAAACTAACTTTTCTGATTGGCTGTTTTTCACAAACACAAGCTTTGAACAGCAGGTGGGCGGGGCTTCTGTGGCAGCTGCTCTCAGTTCTGCCTGTGTGCTGTTTATGCATACCTGCTGCAGGGCTCTCTGGATATCGATGCCCTGTCCCCACGGAGCGGGCGGGTTGGCCAGGCACTCCCCTGCGTTGCCCCGGCGAGAGATGTCAATCCGTTGCCTCCGCAGATTCTGGAATGCCGTTGCCATGACGCTGACACCATCATAGGTCAGAGCTCCTGTGTACTGAGTGGTCAGGCAGGAGGAAAGTGGTTAATATCCTGATCCTGTTCACAGTTTTATTGGTGACACAATGAGACAAGATTTTGCTTTACATACACAGAAATGTGTTTTTTTTGTACTTTCCTTAAATAGATTCAAAATAGAAGTAGAATAGAAGAAACAAGTGGGAATAAAAGCAATGAGGAAAAGTATCTGTGAATGATAGTTTGTGTTTGTGTCACTGCTGCTTTAGCCTGAACAACGCCTGTTAATTTCTTTTGCTTCAGCAGAGTGACGATATTAAATTGCAGCTACGAATGACCATTTATCTGTCCTCTGGGAAGCAGGGGAAGCTGTGATGAGAGCTAAAATAATTTCTTTCTCATCACTTAAGAAGAAAGAAGAAAACAAAAATGTTCAGGAATGAGAAAAAAACATCAAATCCTTAGAAAAAGCCTTTGTGTTCCACCAAGATCGAGAAATATTGAACAAAATACGCAAAACTAAACCAGAATGAAATGAAATTTTTAATAAAAAGACTCAATTGTTAGTACAAAGACTTCGGTTCCAAAATTTTGAACACGGTAACAAATCTGGACAATTTCTAGCTAACCAGTTAAAAATCAATAAAGAAAAAACAACTATATGAGCTGTTAAAGATTTATCTGGGAATACAATATATGACCTTAAAAAAATTAAACAAAATTTTAGGGATTTCTATGAAACTTTAAATACACCACAAATAAACCCATCTAAAAACGAAATTGATCAATTTCTCAACAACATAACTCTGGCACTGGATTCGCCACTGACGCCAGGTGAACTCCAGCAAGCCCTGATAAGTATGCCCAATATAAGGCTCCAGGTCCAGACGGCTTTCCTGCAGAATTTTACAAAGAATTCTGGACGATTCCAGTTTTTTACAGAACGTTGTTGGAAATCAAAGAAAATGGCAGACTACCACCAAATAGTGAATACCACCAGAATTAACTTTAAAATTTTATTGTTGACCTACAAAGCCCTGAATGGACAGGCTCCCAGGTATTTGTCTGACCTCTTGCAGACTCATACCCCCTTAGATCTCTTAGATCAAGTGATCTTTTGCTTTTAGCCGTACCAAGGTCGAGGCTGGTTCATAGAGGCGATCGAGCATTTGCAGTCGTAGCGCCTAAGCTGTGGAATAATTTACCC